CTCCACCAACCCCCAACCCAGGCCTGGCTTTGCTGCTCCTCCAGGCTCATCTTCCCGCCTCCTCGACGCCCCCACTTTCATACTCTCTCCGGTCCCCCTCTCTCACACTCCCTCTCCCATGCTAGAAAAGCTTTCTGATCTTAACCTGGGTAATGCCTCTTCTTCATCTCAGTTGAAGTATTGCCTCCTCCAGGAAGCCTGCCAGGACCCCCACTGGCTGAGTCCTGAGGACCTGATTCTCCCCAGCTCAATCAGTGTGAGGGTGCATGTTCATCTGCCCCAGCGCCTTCATCCCCGCCTTTATCATGGGGTGGTGGCTGGTCCTGAAAGGCCCAAGGAGGCGCTTAAGCATAGGTGTGGAGGTCCCCATATATACACATGGACCACCCAGGCGCTCTCTGAGGCACAGGACACTCCCATCAGAGCCACCTCCTCCCAGGGTCAGCGCAGTGACTGGGGAATGGGCACAGCAGAAAGGAGTGTGTAGAGAAGGGTCGGGACAGGGCCAGGATCTCAGGACCCTCTCCAGCTGGCTGGGAGGAAGCCAAAGGCCAGAGGGGCCCCTCCTTACTCCCACCCCCTGGCATTCTGCAGCCTCCTAGACTGATCGGGCAGGTTTCTGTGGCTGGCCTGGGTGGGGTCATCCTCTGGTGGGGGCTAGCCCTGGGGCAGGGGCCAGGAGTCTGGCACACTGAGTTCCTGCACAGTCAGGCCAATGACATGTCTGTCCGCACCCAGAGACCAGTCCTGCCATGCGGCCAGTCACCATGGGTCAGGGGAGGGCAGGCACCAGGACCCGTCTGTCCTGCGAGGCCAGCTCGACTTCCTCCCTCAGCTCGCTCTGCCCAGCCCGGAAATATCAGGGTGCCCAGCGCTGGCCTCCACTGACTCCTCGCCTCGGCATCCCGGCCTCACCCCAGTGGTGAGGCAACGCCATGCTTAGCAGCTGAGCTTTCTGCACGTCCCCCCGACAGGTGTGCTGCGCTGCACGCAGATGGGAGACAGGTGCTCCCAGGGGCCTCCCCAGCCCAGCACCTTTGTGGCCCACCTCCGGGAGGCCCAGGCCCTGGGAGCCGGGCAGGGCCGGGTGGCATGGCCTGGCACTACACAGCCGATGTTCAGGAATTGGATGTTTCATGGGAAGGCAGAAGAATGTCCCTGCTGAGGTAGGGTGATGACTCACACTCGTGAGCAAGGCTCAGTCCTGGCCGCCTGGGCTCCCACTCCCAGAAACCTGCCAGCACCAGTCCCACCCACCACCTTCCTTCCAACCGATCCTCCTCCTGGAGGCCTTTCTTGGGGCTCCACTCCCCAGGTTCCCCGCACAGCATCCTGCTGGCAGACACACAGACTGTCGTGTCTCCTAGCTCCAACCAGGCCTGGCCAGGGCAGGGGACACACTCCTGCCCCTCCTGTCCAGCCTCAGGACAGGCCTGAGACCTGCAGTGCAGGTTAGAGAATCATGACGCAGTGGCTTCCCTGCCCCCAAATGTCCCAGAGAGGCCAGCATCCTGTGGTGGCATCCAGCCCGGGTCCCCTCCCGAAAGGAGTCACCCGAAGAAAGCTCACTCTGCTTTATTACCCAGGCTCTGGGCCTTGAGGGAAGTGGTCCCAGGTGTTCCCGGGCTGCCACCATGGCCAGTGCCCAGGGCTCCTTTTCGAGGGGCCTGAGCTGAGCTGCTGGCGTTCATGGCACACAGGTGTTCCTGTCTAGGGTGGGAGGTGGCTGACACCCATGGCAATGGCCCAGTGGCCACCCCAAATGTCCAGCACTGCCGTGGCTGCCTGAGCAGAGTCCTGGGGCCTGCTATGCAGGGGGCTCCTGGGCAGGCCCACAGCCCAGTCGGGGCCCAGCTAGGAGACAACGCAGCAGCAGCTGTGGCAGCGGCAGAAGCGCGGGCAATGGCAGCAGGAGCAGCAGGGGCAGCAGCAGCAGTGGTGGGCGATGTCATCACCACGCCCGATGGGTGGCAGGCCAGTGTAGGTCAGTCCTGCTGGGCGCTGCCCACTGCAGTAGGGGTTGCCAGGCTGCTGCCAGGCCTGCTGGCCCTGAACAGGGGCGGCCCCCTTGGCCCCCTTGGCGCCCTTGGCCCCCTTGGGCCCCGGGGCCTCCTCCATGGGTTGCAGGAGGCGGGTGGGCTCCAGGGTGCAGGAGCCCACAGGCAGAGGCTGCAGCTCTGAGGAGGAGGGAGCCAACTCCAGCTGCTGCTCCAGGTCAGGCCGCAGGCGAGCCCGGGGAATGCTGACGTGGACATACGGGTTCTTGACGACCATCTCGTGAGGGTCCATGGCCCGGCCTGGCAGGGGTGGGCAGAAGAGACCATTAGCTCAGTGGAAGGAAGTGGTTGTGGCCCAAGACAGTGCCCACCCCAGGAAATCAGTTTTGGAGGTGACAGTGCCAGGCCTGGGGGGGCCCAAGCATGAGGGCCAGTCTCCCAGCTGCCCCCCAGGTGTCCTGCCCTTCCCTGAGGGGCAGTGCCCTGGACGGGGCTGGGAGTGGGTGGGGGAGTCTGGAGACACAGCTAAGCTGGTCCTACGGGGGATCCCCAGTGCAGGGAAGGCCCAGGACCCACCTGAAGTGGCAGTGGCAGTGGCAGTCTATCGTCTTCTCCTCTAGACCAGGTCCCAGCGCCTGTGAGCTGAGCGACTGGCAGCTGCCTTTTCCCTTATGGGGAGGGGCGGGGCCCTGGGCGGGACTCAAAAATGGGGTTCCCAAGATCCCCAGAGGCTCCAGCTCCTCCAGCACAGCGGCCACCCACCCTTCCTTCTCAGGTGGGTGGTGGCCATGGCCTGGGCGACTCAGCCCCAACACATTCCAGGCATGTCCTGGGCTCAGGAAGGAGGGCAGGAGGGGAGCCTGGGGTCAGGTGTTCAGACCCCTGCCTGCAGGTGCCGGGGGCTGCAGCACCCCTGACTCCTCAGGGCTCCTGTCTGCAGGTGGCCGGGGGCTGCAGCACCCGACTCCTCAGACCCCAGCCTGCAGGTGGCCAGGGGGGCTGCAGCTCCCGACTCCTCAGGGCTCCTGTCTGCAGGTGGCCGGNTCTCCTCAGGGCTCCTGTCTGCAGGTGGCCGGGGGGGCTGCAGCTCCCGACTCCTCAGGGCTCCTGTCTGCAGGTGGCCGGGGGCTGCAGCACCCCTGACCCCTCTGACCCCAGCCTGCAGGTGGCCAGGGGGCTGCATCACCCCTGACCCCTCTGACCCCAGCCTGCAGGTGCCGGGGGCTGCTGCACCCCTGACTCCGAGCCCCTGCCTTCGGCCACGCTGGCCGGGCGCCTTGAACCGGTAAGAAGTGGGCTGCACGCTGCTGCTGCTGGAGCTCGGCCCAGGACAGGCGGCACGCGCCTCACGCGCAGTGGCCCTTGCGCCCGCGCGGGGCGGTCTCCTCTGCTTGCGGGGCTCCCGGCGTCTCCCCGCCCTCGGCCCTCGAACCCTCGCCCACCTTCCCCCGCGTGGCGGGCGTGGCGACGGGTGTAAACA